TAACGTACTTTGTTGAATGTTTCTTAGCGTTGTAATTTTAAAGGTTTTTTTTGTAGTTTATCCGATAATATTACACGATCTTTGTTGTGCTTTTTTAAATGCGTTTTATTTAACGGCATCGAATCACTCACTCATTTGTTATTCGTTGACTGTTTGAATGGGCGCAGATCTCATCGTGTGCAGTGGCTCGCCCTATGCTCTTTTTTTAGAAACTACTTGTTGAGACAGTTCAGTCGTGGTGCGGTTATTTTCTGTCAAGATTAGTTAGTATTATTTAATGTACGCTGTTAAGAGTGATGTATTTGGAGAGACCCATAATCGAAGTTTGCTGTTGGATCCACTTAAATAAACGCAGAGGTCAGCAGTTGTGGACAGTTTTTCATAGATGAGACTCACAATAAGTTTACATTCCCGAAGTACAACAGGCAAAAACTTTCTTTTAGAAACATTACGAACATTTGGCACTTTTACACCACACTCTTCGTCCTAAATAACTGCTTTTGCGCATTGTGTTTATTGTTACGTGTGCGATTACCCCTCAGATTGGAGATGACCACCCCTGGTTTATGTAGAGGACCAAGTTTAATTAGGTACTCCAAAATGTAAGACTGCATTTGACATTCTAAATCGGCGTGAATTGCATTGTCATTTGTCACCACAAGCCCACTGTATTCACACAATCACCAGTACACTGCAGCACCACTGATTCCAGATCGTAAGGCTTGGAAAACAGAGTAAAATCAAAACGCAAACATACGATATAACCTAATTAACAAATTATCTCCTTTGTTGTGGGGAAGTCATTGCTGCTGGTGTCCGGACGCCCATGTGTGGTCCACCTGGTGTAGCCGCAGCTGCACCACCCTCGCTTTGTGCAGCCGTCCTCGACGGTCGCAGTCCTTCTCCGTTGATTATTGCTCGTACCAACTTCTGAGTATCCTGGTTATTGTAGGTGGGGACATCTTGATGCACTTCTGCCTGAGTACGCGCATTTTCAGCTAAAGAGGCCAGTAGTGTCTCGATGTGCTTATTCATCGCAAGGATTTGTTTGTTCACCTGGAAAACATTTTGATAATACTGTGTGGCGGACGACCAATACACCCTTCACTCCATATTGATAATCTAATTCTATGTGACTGGATCTGAGTCGACATTTCCCACACTGGCAGGACCGCCCGGGCTATTTATGTTAAACGCTTTAAGCTACCGGTGTACATCCACCTACCTGTCGCCTTTCTTGATGCCATACAGGTACTGGATGTGGTCCAGACGGCCACTTCATATTTTCTACGATATCTGCCCAAAAACCGGGATGTAACGCGTGGAAGACGGATGGACGGCCTACGCGGCTGTATAAAGATGCTTCTGTGGGGCTGCGGTAAACAATAATTTATTCAAAAACAAAGGCTGGAACGCACCAGGCGAGCCGGTGCGATCATGCGTTTTTGCATCAAAACTAA